TGTGCCCATTATTCTAGACTAGACCTATTCTAATGGACATGATAATTTATAATTTACTATACTTTTAAATAATTTTCTCAAATTATCTAGTTTTATACACATTTACTGATCTTCTAAACCCAAAGAGGGTAACTGCTTTAATGTAGACATTTTATTAATAAAAAGTTCTTAAAATCAATCACATATGTTTTCAATATACAGATGAGAAGATGTAGACTAAGGTTTTCATTTATTCAAAAAAGACTTCTTAAGCACCTACAGTATACTGTGCACTATTCTAGACACTTGAGGATATAGTAGTGACCATGACAGACAAGGTCCCTTTCATACTTTAATTTTTATCTTTGCTCATGTTATTATTGTTTCCAAATTTTCTTCGTAGCACAAGTTCATTTTGTATTCTGTATATATATTTTATTTGTTTTATGTATAGTGTCTACATGAACTGGAATATGAACTCCTTGAAAGCAGGAGTATTCGTCTGTCACTCAGCTTCTAGGATAGTACCTCACATTTAGTAGGGAGTTAATAGACTTTTGTCAAATGAATGAATGAACTGAATAAAATAAAGACCCAGGAGTATGTGATAATCTGAAAGCTAAGTGAAATGTTTTCAGAATGGATTGGTTAACTGCGTCAAATTCTGCTGATGGGTCAAACAACATAAAGACATGAAGATTGGATTTACCCAGGTACAGCTGTGATGAATGGTTTGAATGGAGTGAGGGACAAAAGCCATACTGGAATAGATTCAAGTAAAAAGAAAGCGGTGAAGAAGTAGAAATGGGATCATTCAAGGAATTTTGAGGGATAAGAAAATTGAGCTATAACTGGAGAGAGGAGTATGAATGACGTCAAGGAAGCCTTTGAAATGTTTTTCTTTTATTTTGAAAATTCCAAACATACAGAAAAGAATAGTACAATGAGCCCCTTTACACTCTTCACATATATCAGCAGTATCAGAATTTTTGTAGACTTATTTTATTTACTCATTTATTTGTTACTGTTTAATATTTAAAAGTGAATCCCAATCATTTTATCTGTATATGCTTCGGTATGCATCTAAAAAAAAGAAAAAAAGAAAGGAAAAATGGCAGTTTTTTTTTTTTTTACACAACCTGATGTCATAATCATACCTGTTAAAATTAATAGTAATTCCTTGATACTATCTAATACCTAGATCTTATATTGTCACAATTGTTTAAAATAAAAGTTGTTTGAATCTAGATTAGTCAAATTCTAATTTACATTTGATCATTATATCTCATAAGGCACTTTTAGTCTAGAGGGAAGTCCCTCTTTTATTGATGGGGCAAGAACAATTGACCTGTTGAGTGTCCTACATTCTTGATTTGTATCTTTGATTCCTCATGGTGTCATTTTTTTTCTGCTTTCAATATTATTTGTAAACTCTAATGTAGTGTGTTTGATTGGATTTAGGTTCATCTACTTTGGGAAACGTACTTCATCATTAGTGCCCTGTGTGTCAGTGGTATTGCTTCACATCAAGAGGTGCATGGTTCACTTTCACATTCTTTTTGGTTTTATTTTTGTTTTTTTGAGAGACAGAGAGCATGAGTGAGCTGGGGAGAGTGGTAGAGGGACAGAGAGAGAGAGAGGAAGGAAGACAGAATCTTAAACAGGCTCCATGCTCAGTGCAGAACCTGATACAGGGCTTGATCCCATGACCCTGGGATCATGACCTGAACAGAAATCAAGATTTGGGTGCTTAGTCAATTGAGCCACACTGGCACCCCCACTTTCTCATTCTTAGTCATGCTAATGGCGATCAGGGAGGTCAGTTGGTGACTGCCTTAACATTTCCACTGAAAATTACCCATTAACCTTACATCATATGATTTGATGATCTTTGCCTAAATTTATTTACTTTGTCAAATAATTTTTAGTTCTGTCATAAAGGAGGAGTCTTTAAAAATTGAAGAAATTATAACATGTTTTTCTGCTGATAGAAATGATTTAATAGCAAAGGAAAAATTATGATGTAAGAAAGAACTCTAATACCTGAAGAAATCATAAACTTGGTAGGTAAGAAGGAATAGGGCCCACTGCATAAGTGGTAGAATGCTGTAGGTAGGAGCAGGAACAGTTTAAGTGACTTACTTATTCAAGGTTACAGCACAGAATGAATATATTTTATTAAAACTCTATCAAAATTTTGCTATAGAATATGTTTGAAAATTGTACCTAATTTTAGAAGCATGCATTTCAATATATGATATTGTATGTGAAATCAAAACTGAAACCACTTTAAATTTCACTGCCTGTATTTGACATTGGCCCTACTTGTTAATTTTTCTAACTTGTCCCTTGAAAGTGCATTTTTAAATTAGTGTGTCTTATACTTCTGTATCTGTACATCATAAGAAATGTGGGCATATACTTTTATGTGATTGTTTTTCAGCTTCTGTTGCTAGTCTATTGCAAAGAGTAGTAAATGCTACTGCTAAACAAATAAAATGATAAATAACTAGCAGTTTAGTTTAGACACTAATGGAGCCTGAAAGCCTTTAAAGTGACAAAAACAGCAACTTTAATGATTTATAGGTGCATTTTTGTTACACAGTTTGGTCATATACCTGACAGTTTTCTCTCTTTGTGACTTTTTCCTAAAAATTATAGTTTTGTGTTATCTGAGTAAAAAGGCCATTAGGGTTCAGGAGAAGAATTTGACAGCATGTCTTCTGAGGATTGCAGCAATTCCCATTGGTGGATATACAATCTCCTTTTTTTCCTTCTTTTTTTTTTTTCTTTTTTTTTCTTTTGTAGTACTAATGGTAGTGATATAATTTAATTCTCAAAGATTATGTACTGCAAATTTGAACCAATGAACTATTTCCAAATTGTCTCCTATATGCTATATGAAATTCAGTTTTAGACAATCATATTTCTTTATGACTCAGTGATTTCCATTTACTACCTGATAGTCTGTACACTCTAAAGAGTGTTGTTACTCTGTTGGGGTTACTGTATTGTCTGACATGATATGTAGTGTATTAAATTAGAATTTTAAAGGCAACATGGATTATATAATGTCTTCAGTTATTTAGTGCCATGTTGTTTTTTAGAATTCCTATTGAGGTTGAGCTGATTTCCTTTCCTATCTGGCATCCCCAAAGGAGCACTCTGTATTTGTCTCCAAAAGCAGGAATATAATCTGATCTATTTTGTTTTGCCTCCTGACTTAGATGAGAACACTTTGCATGAACTACATTGATCAGTTATTATTATCCTTTCTAGTTATTTATTAGACAGTTAATACAACCTTGTCAAGACTTCCCTAGAGTATCCCTGTAAACTAGATCATTTTACCCAAGAACCACCACAGAGATACATCTAGGTTGACAGGATGAGAAAAGCTGATCAGGAGAAAAAAATATTAAGCCTTCAAACTCACATTATGTTTTTCAGATTTTCTTCATCCTTACAAATGAGAGGCACACTTGCTCTCTACTGAAATATTTTGTACAACTTAAGAAACTTAGTTTTTCATAGACTTGAATCTTCATTGTTTAAAATAAGAAGTTGTAATTTAGGTGTATTCTTGTAATATTATTCTTTAAACTCTTGTGATCTGAGTCTTTTTACTAGAAGTAAGAATGATAAGCTTTTACTATTCTTTTAAAAATTCAAAACTACTAGAAACATAGAAAAATGGTTTATGAGGCAGTTAATCCTTAAAGCAACATAATCTCCCTGTGATTTTTTTTTTAATGTTTGTAGCTTCACAACTTTGTCCTTCCAAATGTATTTTAAAAATGTTTTATAGAGTGGCTTAGAATTTTTAAACTGTAACACCAAAAAGAAGTGTGTCAGGTACTTGGAAGTTTTCATGTTTATTCAAAACCCAATATTTTAGAAATTTAAAAATAATCATTCTTTTGATATATTTTGTTAACTGTTTAATAAATGTTTCTGAGAAGTAACTTTATGTGTTGTGTTGGGATGCTGAGAAGATTACAATTTAATACCAAGCTGCTATAATGAGGCTCACTTTTATAGTCTGAAAATGAATTTTTTTGCCTTAAGGTTTATCTGTAAAGTATAGAGTTGTAAGATCTATATTGGACCCAACCAAATTTATTCACTAGCAGTGGAAAGAACACTATTAATTATATCTGTATCAATTATTTATCAATTTCAAATTTCATGAACTATTTTAAAATTTTGGTCTTAATTCTGATATTCTGTCTTATTAAAATTACATAATAATGACAGTGCTGATTCATTCATCTAATATATATTTATTGTGCACCTGTTATATACAGGGAGTGTTAAAGGCTGTGGGGAAACTACAGCACAAAACAAAACAAGCTAATCCATTGTCCTCTGAGGGCTTGCATTCTAGTGAAAAAGTTAAAAATTAACAAATATAAAATATCAGGTAATGTTGATGTTATAATTAAAGGCAGAGCAGGGTAAGTGAATAAAGAATGGTAGAAATGAAGAAATATACCTGCCATGTAAACCTTCCAAGACCTCCTCTCCCCACCAGTTTAAATGCTGTTTGCATTGTAGACCATCTGTTTGTGCCATCCATGTAGATACATCCATTATTTTTCACATCATACCATCGTATAATTGTTGACCTGATGCTAGCTTTTTATCCTTAAGATATCTTCTTTGGAAGCTGGGTCCATAGATCTTCATCTATGTGTTACTAGCATTTACACGAAGTCTTTTTATAAACGCTCTGCAAGTATTTTTTTTATGTCAATGAAGGAATGATAGGCTCATAATTTCTTAGGATCTCTGGCTCTACTGGAATCCAAAGGCCGTTTTTGAGACTATTAGGAAAGAATGAGTGTAAAAATGATAAAAAGGAGTATATATGTATGTATTCACTCTGTTTGGTTCAGTTGAACATTTCTTTTTAATTGAGAGTTTTACGTTTTACATTATATCATCCTTTTTCATGGCTTTTTTTAAAAAAATACAAAATAAGAAAGAAAGTTTTCTGAAAATTAATCTTTCATCCACAGGTACTACTGAACGAGTATGTTTGATCCAGGGAACAGTTGAAGCACTGAATGCAGTTCATGGATTCATTGCAGAAAAAATTCGTGAAATGCCCCAAAATGTGGCCAAGACAGAACCAGTCAGCATTCTACAACCCCAGACCACCGTTAATCCAGATCGCATCAAACAAGTGAGTGTTTAGTTGGGAAATCAAAGAGAAATATCCACAGCATAGTATGAATTCCTTATAAAAGAAGCTTAAAGTCTTAGCAGATGAAGTTTTGTTTTTTTCCTAAGCATACTTAATACATAACAAAGTTGTCATTTTGTTTACTTAAAGACTGTCAGTCAGAGCCTCTTCCATAGATTGACTAGTTGATTTATTGATTGATTGAATAAGTCACTTTTTAGTGTTATACTGAGGAGCAATTATATGGCTCATTACTTTTGTGATTACCTTTTAAAAATTTATAGACATAAATTTGTTTAGTATAATTTATAGGGATTAAATCTATTTAAAATTATATCACTTTTTAAATAAAGTATAAAAATTGAAGTGAGAGTATATCCTCAAGATTTCAAATACCATATTTTTAGTAATATTTGTAGTTTTCAGTATACTTATAAACTCCTATTTTGTTAACTTGTTATATATAACAGTTTTTATAAAACAATATGTATAAGTAAATTTTTGTACTTAGCAAATAGTCTTTTGTTACAAATCAGCTATTATGTTCTGTATAACATGTAGTCTTTATATATGTCATAAAAGGCCAATGTTTACTTTTAATGTGTGAGATTTTTCTGTAACAAAAATTTTATTTGATAAAAGACAATGTGAGTTGTTAAGGTTGAATAATGGCTGACATGCTGTAGGGGAAAAATGGCATTCTTTAATATTAAAATAGGTGAATCCTTCCCCATAAACTCTTAAATTCTCAAATTTATTTGTTACCTTATGATTATAATTATTGTTTCTGAATTTGCCCCTTTACAATTAGCTGCTTAATTTGTGATCATACAATCAGTAGACTCTGCCTTCAAAAGAAATGTATTAACTTCATTAATTTACAGAATACTTAATTTACAGCATTTTATGTTAATTGTAATAAATTTGAAATGTAGCTCAAAATCTTATTAATTTCATGTTTCTGGATTGAAAAAAAATTATGCCAAACAGTGTTATTGACATACTATAATTTTAACAATGTATAGATAAAAGTAAGGCTGACTAATCATACACAAACATAGGAATTAATAATTAGGTAATATATTTTCAAATTATAGGCTAACATTAAACTTTCTGTTGATTACTGTTCAAATTTTTGCCATGTTTACATCAGATAGCTGCTATTCCATATAAAATTTCATTTTATACTCTGTCACTTTGATTTCTCTACCCTTTTTAAGGAAGTATCTTTTAATGTATGCATGGCAGAATGTAAATATTTTAGAGTTCTACGCATCAGTTGATGTTTTTTTCTTCTTCCCAGCCATATATAGTTTAGAAATTTAGCTTATCTATGCCAGGGGAATACAAGGAATATTTTTAAAACTGATACCTTGAAAGAGATACAAGGACTCTGTATCCAGATTCTAAAACTATGAGTTTAGTTAAAGACTTCTGGGTTAAAATCACCTGGGGCTAAGAATTTACAGAATTGCCACTAAAGTGTAGTAGGGTTTATTGACTTTCTGCCTTACTCCAGCCTATATCTACTCTCTTTTATACTTTCTGTGAGAAAAGTGCAAACATTTATAGATAAGAGTGAGCATCTTGATTTTTTAAAAAATAAAATACACAATGTAGTTTGAGTAGTATGATATTACTGGCGGTATAGTTAGGACAATGATATGAATGAATATTTATTATTTTTATAATAATAGCTAGTATCAAATAATGGAATATGAATCATTAAAATTCCAATTTTCTCTATGCAATATGAAATTTAAAGGCTCCCGTATATCCAGTACCAGTATAGTTTGATGAAAACCAGAATTTGAAAATGTTTGCTTTTTTTATTTACTTGCCTTGGTCAGATAATGTTATTTAAAATCATGATAAGTGTTAAAAACAATAGTGATTGATTGATTTTTGTGTATTTGCATTCATTTGTAAGCCTGGTAGATATTAATGGAATTAAAATTATTGTTGATTTTAATATTTTTATGTAATAAGTGATGTACATGAAATAGAGTATCATTTAAAAAAATAACCAAACAAGTACACTAAATCTATTAGGGCAATATATTTAACCCTTAAATACTTTCTTTGTAAGTGTAAAAATTAAAAAATTTACTTGAAAAATCTGGAGAAACGATCAAACATATTTCCAAGATAGTATAGATCAACAGAGTTTTTTATGTTTTAAGTTTTCCTATTTTAGCAATGTAAGATTTTTTTGTTGGGTTATTCGCTAAATAGTAAGTCAAGTATATAAATTTAAATGACCACAGTTTTGTTTCTGAAGAAATTATGCTGGTTATCTATTATCAAATAATATGTCCAAAATAAATTGCTCTAGAATATATAAAAACATTTCATATATCATATTTCATATGATATTATTATATGATAGTTTTATATATGCATACATAATACATAGAATCACAGTAAGATTTCTTTTAAAATGGTGGTCTTTCCTTTGACATTTATCTCTTCTTTGGGCTTTATTCGGTCCTGAAGTTAATTTTTTTTTAAATTTCTTTAAAACGTCTTTTAGAATTTTCTTTTAGTTAAATTGGGCAAAGAATAAAATTAAGAGTTTTAAAAAATGAGAGAGCTAGAAAATACAACTTCTGCACAGAAATGAGTTCATGTTGAATATAAAATTATAGCTTTCTGAATGTTTATTACTACATGACTGTTGTTTTTTTATGATTGATAACTTAAGGTTTGCTTCCTAAAAGAGTATAATTTATATGTAACTTGGATTTAAAAATAGGAAATCACAGTTAGTTCTAAACAAACATTTTAAAAGTTACAATTTCAAACCATATATATGGACTTTTAACAGAATATTGTGTTCTGAATTATGTAATCTAGATATAGTTGGTAACTGAATAAATTGCATGAACCAGAATATTCTGCCCAAATGAAACCTACATTTACTGACTGAATGAATGCTCAGACAAATATAGTTTTGTAAGAAAATAATGCAAACTGGTCTTGCAGGCCTTTGATATAGTGGAATGATGAAATCTAGGATAACAGCCTTACATCCAACTTCAGATATTAAGGTGTTGTTCCCTCTCAAATGTTTGTTGTTGTTGTTTTATTTTAAAAATATTTATTTGCCAATAGAGAGGGACTCCAATACTTTATATATTCAAATGGTAATAGTAATAATGATTAACGTGCATTGAATAATTAAAATATTGTAACTTCTGTTCTATCACCTTAATTAGGATACTTTTATGAAGCACCTAATAACCACTGTGCTAATTTTACAAGTCAGTATACAAAGAAACAGAAATGCAGAAAGAGCCAGTAAACCAAAATTAAACATATATTACAACATAGAACATACTATTGCTTATTTTCAGGACACGCAAATAGCAGAGACATTCAACGATCTTCAAATAATTTAGACCTTGTTTGCCTAGAAGCTTTGAACTCATTCCTGGAGCATGTCTTTAGTCCAGAGTAGTTGGTACACATTTTTCCATTTCCACCTTTTTTATGTTTTGAGCTTTATACTCTATACCTTTTCCCCTCATAGGATTATTGCAACTTTTCTTCTTTTTAAGCCCCTCAAATCCCTCTCCAAGTATGGTTGCTTATACATAATAAGTCAATATAAGAAACCCTAAAACAAGGTAGAAACCACAAATCAGTAATACAGTTAGCATTTGTTAACTCCTTTTGTCTGTTACAAATTTTCAGCAATTCTTTTCCATTTTGGCTCAAATGTATTTTTAAGAAAAGCTACATTAAGAACAAAGTGGTTATAGGCATTTAGAGAATTTTCTTGTATTTAAAAAAAATCAAGTGAAGATATCAAGAATCTCACTTAGAGTTTTACCTCTATCGTGAAAAATTGGCAAAAATAGCACATAATTGTATTCACTATTCATCCATTCAGTCATGAATTTATTAAATGCCTTCTTACTGAGTTGCAAGATATATTAAATTGTAGCCCTTGCTCTCTAAAACTAGTTTGTGAGAGATCAGAAATGATTAAAATGATTTATAAAAATGTCAAACTGTATATACCAAAACCGCAGCATAAACAAGTGTACTGTAAAATATATAAAAGTTCAGAGGCATGTGGAAGAAATATAGGGTGGAATGACATTTGGTCTTATAATACAGGTGAGGATTTGAACCGGACCTTGAAGATTCTATAGGAATTTCCTAATTAGAGGAGAAGAAAGAAAAAAAAGCTTATTTTAGGCATGTGAAACAATATGGATTTGAGAAGAAAGCTATAATGGTTGAATAGTAAGGTGACTCTCTTGACAGAAATGGAACATTTGTGTTGGAGTTTAGAGGAAATTAATGTTAGGATGGGACCAGATAATGGAGAGCCTTGGATGTCTGGCCGAGGGACATTCTATAGATTTCTTCATAGTATTTCCTAAAGGAACTTTTTTAATTTCTCTGAAAAGTTAGAACAAAAGGAAGCACATCTGCATTTTTTTCTCTTCTGTTCTGAAAATCCAGACAGACCCTTAAAAAGGGGTGCCTGTATGTATAACTTGGTAGAAGAGAACTATGACAATTAGCTGAGTGATCTACTATGCAGATCTTTAGGTCTGAAGGTTTATAAGAAAGTATTTTTTAAACTTCTTTCATGTAACACTCAAAAATTCAAGGAATGTTAAGCTTTGTCAGGCAAAATAAATAAATAAAGGTTTGGTGGTCAAGAATGAAGGATCAGCAATGTAATAGTGACATATACGGTGTTTACTCTGTTTCTCTGCCAGCCATTGTGTTATGCGCTTTACATGTATTATCATATTTTATCCATCTTCACAAAAACCTATCAGGCAGGTAAGGAGTACAGAATCCATGTTATACTTAAGGAAGCTGATGAGTAAAGAAATTTAATAACTTACCCAAGGAAATGTAATTGATAATTGATCTTGACACTGAGCTATATGGCCTCCAATTTTGAGTAATGATGATAAAATGAAATTTAGTAGATTTCTCTCTTTGGGGACATTTCATTATCTTGAATAAGTTTA